TCACCTTGTTCATTACGTTCAAGTTCCTTTATCAAGTGATGATTAGTAATTGTTTCTAATAAAAAAAGATCTGCAAGTAATGCCAAAACCTATTTGATTATGGTGAAAAATTCCCAAGTTTCATTTGTGTCAAGCCACAAAGAATGGAAGTTTTCCTTCAAAATAAGCAAACTTTCTGTTTACATCCCGCTCACTCGAGTATTTAGCATTTTTGTCAATCTGCACTAGCTAAATGCCAAGGATGGCAAGAAAGGATGTGTGGCTTACGAATAGTCAAAAAAATATTCGATATGAAAATTGCATTTTGTGTTTGCTACACATTTAGTAAGACAGGCATAACTATTATCTTGAGACAGCTGCTTCTTGATAAAATTCATAGGCTTTGCTTTCCCCCTTCTGTTTTGCATCTGTTATTTCTATATACCTGCTTGCCCTTAAAACATTTGTTATACAATTATATTAAATCCCAGTTTACTCTTTGATATAGCTTATAGATAATCCCATGATGCAAATGAGAGCATGAGTTTTGATTAGAAAGTAACCCTTCCTTGTCTGCATATGTATTCTTAACTAATCTAATGGTATTAACTGGCATGAAACATGCCAAATCATATTAATATGAATTAAAATGTTTTTGCAAAACTAGAAAAATGGTTTAGGAGGTGAGAGCTCTCATATTGATCTGGTGTAGAAGTAGTCATGTGAACATGCACCAATTGGATTAGTTTTCACATCGTATTGTGAATGATAGAATGGAAAATTTAATAACTGCTTTGTCTGGGTATTACATAACCATCTTTCTAAATTAACCAGTTAGTCGTGTGTCTTTGGTATGTAAAGTAATTAATTCAATAGTTTCTTTTTCTCATACTGATCAATATTTTGCAGTAGCTCCCAAATCATTCTAAGTTGTTTATAGCATAATATTTTTGTTTTGTTTTGTTTGTTAATATGTGTGTGTAGGTAGGTTGATATTTGTGGGATTAAAATGACTCTGAGTTATTAATGCCAAAAAGCTGTGAAGTTTTTTTTGTACTCTATTATTGCTCTATGCTGCTAATTAATAACATTATATACAATTTATATGACCTCTAATTATTTATTATAATAGTAAGAATGTTTATTATGCTTCTTAATATCATCCGAATAGAGAGGTTTAATTACTTTGATATCCTTCAACACATGGAAACCATTTAATAAATGAATGTAATTAATTTAATAAAGTAATTAATAAAAAATAAAAAATATCTGATTAAAATAATTGTTGAAAGTAATTATTTGCTAATTTTTAAGCTGTAATCACACACACACACACACACAAAAAAAAAAAAAAAAAAAAAAAAAAAAAAAACCCACACACACATATATATTTATTTATTAATAGGTTAGGATTCCGAGCAAGAGAATCATTCTGCATTTTATCTTTTTAATGAAAAAGGTTTTTTTAAAATTTCCATTGCTAAGAATCTCATATGTAGAATATTATTCATCACATCCTATTATCAATTGCATGGGGAGTGTAGTTAGTATGTAATTCCTTTTATGTTGATAACTTACCAAAATAATGACAGTAATCATAATTGTTGATGAGCAGCTTCAGTAAAGAAAAGAACTTATTTAAAGGAAAGCTTGAAGTGGAAGTTGATTTAGCCGTGTTGCTGTTAGTTGATTTTGACCTCTCTGGTCTCATGGCATATCTGTAATTGGTATTGCAAAATTGCTGTCTGGTTTTGTTTTTATAACTAAAAATGCCGTATTTGGCGGCATATAAGATGCATCCTTATTTAGAAGGCCACACACATGTAGATGTAGAAAAAGTTATGTGTGTCTAGATCTTTATCTGGGCTAAAAATAGCATTCAGTATTGAAAGTTAACCTGTGTCCTTCACGTATAAGACGCAGGTAACTTTTTGAGACCAAATTTAGGAAAAAAAGTGCGTCTTATATGCCGTCAAGTACGGTATTTTAACGATAATGTCTGCCAATAGAAGGTGCCTGTGAAGTGCGTGTTCATCTAACTGATGCTGCCCTGCAAGGAGAGAACCTGTAATCTTCTGTCTGTAGCATGACAGTTTTACTTATCACTTCTGAAATAGCTGTGTCTGGAGCAAGCTGTAAATATTCAACTTCTATTCGCGGTGCTTGCAACACCTCACATGACACATGTGGTGGGCGACAGACACAAAGATAGAAATTCATGTGTGTGATCTCACTAGTTCAAAGTATGAGACACCATATACTCTGATACTGCAGGAACAATAACTTGTTCAGTATTGCCACCATTTGACATTTCAGGAATCATAACTTCACAATCAATATCAAGAGATTTGAGCGATCCACATTGTGTCTGTCATCAAGGTCTCGAATAGAAGGGGCCAAAGATCCAAAGACCCTTTAGCTCATTTAGTATTGTCTTCAACTATGACAAATCAGATGATGTAAAACACAACCAAAAATTAAAAAGACATGACTAATTCAGTCTTCAAACTGCTTTAGAAAAAGAGAAAGAACCCAAAACGCTTCAAAACTGTCAACATCTTCACATGGTGACGACAATATTTTACTTACAAATAATTGGTTATTATGCATTTAATATTAATTGTTAGCTGTCGTTATAGTGTTATAATAGCTTTTTAGCTTTTCACAGAAACAAAAGATTTGTTGAATCTTCTCTTCACAAACTGAAAAGAGTTTGGCCCCAAATTCCAGTATGCAACAAACTGTGATTGGATATGGATTGCCATTACTAATAAAAATTTTTCTCAAATTTTGTTTCACAATATCTGTGCTGATGGAGGGGTTTATGTTCTATGTATAAATGTTTCTGATCAGTAAATGGTAAAGCTTTGTATTTATTAGCATAAGAAGACTTAACACAGTCTAAAAAAGTATATTATTATAGTTATTATTCTTGAGGAGACCAGTGAATGTAAAGACTCAGTAACTAATGTAAAGACTCAGTATGTAGCAAGCTATCCTGTCTGTATCTAATCTCTGTATCAAAAACAAACTTCAAAAAGTATTTGGATACATACAGCTAATTTTTCAAAGAGGAATATTATGAAAAGTCTGGAAAAATTAGAATGAAATTTAAATGTGTGCAAATTATTCATAAAAATAAATTTGTGTGGATCTATAAAAATAAGTCTAACCCTTTATTGACCCACAACAAATCATTCTTACTTTTATTTTTATTACTTATCCCTAAATTTAATCCCTAATCCTTTTAGGACAACTAAATCCCAGCCAATAATTTGCTGTTTTTAGTTAAAAACTGTTATTGCTTACTTCTTGTTATGCATCTTATATCAAATTGGTGCTTTTATTTCACATTAATCTTCAAAATTATTTTTCTTTTTTGGAAATGCAAGTGAGTATTATTAATATTAACCTGTTAACCCTTTGAAGTGCACCAGTATATATTATATACCGGCCTGATAATCGAAAGTGTACGTAGGGGGGGTTGATTCTTGTTATCATAGCATGAAGCATACTCTTTTTATATGGTATCTAAAGCATAAAATATAATAACTTCAAAAATGCAACATAATTTTTCAGCTGAGTCGTACTGTTTCGTTTTAATTTTTTCACCTGAGTAACATCTCGTTGTAACATATGTGGTTTCTGCATGCAAAAATTTTAGCAAATTTGCAGCATGATACGGTTTCTGCATGCAGCAATGCATGCAAATTTGTTAAAATGTTTCATAAAATAATAATATTGAATTTAAATCACTTTTAAAATCTTTTTACCCATATTTTTAATAAGTATATTCAGCTGGGTGGCATCATCAAAGTGCGAAAAACGTAAGTTTAATTTTCTAATTTTAAATTTCTAGTGAAATTTTAAAAGTTTTCTGCCTTCAGACTTACATAACTGTGCTCAAGCACCCATCTTTATAGATGCACATAAAAAGTTTGCAGAAATAGATGGAAAAAAACAAAAATTAACAATTGGCAGCTACCTGGAAAAAAAATGTCATAGAGAGGCACCTTTATAAAATAAATTCCGGCCCTCAAAATTCAGGGTTTCCCTCTAGATTTTTTTTAAGTCTCAATTTTGTGTCCTAAGGGTCTGTAAGTTACAATTTAAATTATTTTATATACCGCCCCAAAAAGGGTTAGATTACTATATCTTAGCCTTTAAATTTACTAAAAAAATCTTCATTTTCTATTCCTAATATTTTTAGTCATGTCAGGCTGAGTATTCCTGAAGTTACAAATGTGATAAAGCATACAAAACACCTGTCATTTGAAATTATTGTTAATTACAATCATTGATATGTCTGATTTCATAACTTCTGAAATTGCATAGAAATGCTAAAAAGTTATTTTAAGTGAAGCTGATTTTAACTTATTTGCTAAATGTATAATGCACTGTGAAATTTGGCATGAATCTGTTAATGTTATGTCATTCTGTTATTTGTCTGGAATCGGAGATTTACTTTTTCCTCGTCTTCTGACTCTGCTAAGATGTGTGGCCTGCCAGTGGCTGTGGTTAAGGACTGTATACTGGACGTTTGACCTGACTTTGATCCTTGGTGAATGGGCTAGCTGCATGGTTGGTCTTTTATGATTTTACCTATATGTAATATGAAAATGAACCAGCTTCCCTAAGAGAGTCCTCCACAAGCCATCTCTCCACTTAGGCAGATAGTTCTTGTGAGCTTTGCTAATTTAAATAACCTACCTAATCTGTCAAGAAGTATGAAAGCTATTTGGCGCTTGCATGTAGTCTTTTTAAATTTCTTACAATTGTTTCTTTTAAAATCTGATTTCTTTTTGTTATGCTCTTTTGTTTTTTTCTGAGACTTCTATTTTACCATGCTTCATTGTTACTACTTATAGTAAAGGACGGATCCAAAAGCCAGAACCTTTTTCATCACTAAAACTTTCCATTTCACATGTTTTGACTAAAAAGATACGAGTATTTTTTGTATCAATTATACATAAATAGAGATTGTTTTGTTCCTTTTTTTAAGGTTTGCTTTTTAATTATAGGTATAATGGCCTTCTGGGAGCTGTCATACTTTTGCAAAAATGTGAGTATTCCATTTTCCTTTTTTTTTTTAGTCAAAGTAGTTTAGTTTTACGATAATATTGCAGAGTGCTCATTTAATTCATAAAGTCTTATATTTTAAAGCGTTTAGAGCATCTGATTTTAATTTTCTGCACAATAAAGGTATGCAAAAATATGTAACATATATGTGTAATGTCCGCACTCATGTATTGTCCACATCCCAGCTTTACCGATGGAATTTATGTAAAAAAAAAAAAAAGATGACCCACACCCCAAAAACTAAAGAATGTATTACTTTAAAATATATTTTATAACATCGCCTTTTTCCCTTTAGTCAATAAACATCTTTAAAGAAAGAGTATGCATTTGCTTTGTCTTGGCTGTTGTCAGGATGGAAAGCAAAGATTTTCCTTGCATTCTGGTGCAGCTGTGATTCAGTCATAACCTTGGCTCCAGCAGAGCACTTGGTAGATGTGATAATAAATGCAGTTCAAACAGGTTTTCACATTTCCAGAAAATACCGTTTTGTAATGAAATGACTTTCCCCTCTTTCCTCCTTAGAGCATTTGCATATTTCAAGCTTTCTTTTTTCATTCATAGTATCATTTGGAATTTGTGATAGTTAGTATGTAGCGTGCTTGAAATGGGGGAAAATACAGCGTCTTTTAAACTGAAAGTTGTAGAATATGCGTAGGAAAACGGAAAAAGAGTAGCAGCATAAGTATACTGTCAAAAGTCGTTAATCCGGACTCGTCGGGACTTCGGCAATTCCGGATTATCGATTTTTCCGGATTATAGATCATCATTTTAAATCTGGTAAGATGGCATGCAGAAATTATAAAATAAAAAATATGAAACCATAATTTATGAAATAAAAAACAATTATGATCTAAAGGGCATCAAATTTACAAAAAAAAAAAAAAAAAAAAAAAAAAAAAAAAAAAAAAACGCAGCTTAATATTTATTTGTTTACTTTAATAAACATTTCTTTCAATGTAATTTGTTTAAGTTGCTTCGTTTTATGTGATGATACTTGCTCTTTAATTCTATAAACAGACATAATTTTTTGTTCAGTTACAAAGTTCCGCTGTTCAAGTCCTATAATTGCTGTGTCGAGAATACCGACTAATTTGTCAATCAAAATGTTTTCGTTTTCAATAACCTCTGTATCACTTTTTTCTTTATCAGAAGTGAATTATAATGACGAGGAATTCGATTTAAATCATATCAAAGACGGAGTACATCGAGATGAAACACTACTTTTAGTAAGGAATTATAAGCGAAATAAAATTAAAACATCTGCCCTGAAGATAAGGATAGTGCTGTCAGATTAACTTCCAATTCATTGCGCGCCGCGGCTTTTCGGCGTTCCCCCCCCCCAGCCACAGAGCAGCGTGAAATTGATAAACAGATTTCAAACTGGTTTGAGAAACGAAGGATATGCCTTTATCCATTTTTTTGCAGCAATTCCACTTTTTGTTTAAGGACTTCTAAACATACTTTCGCTTTGTAGATCCTTTACATATTAGCAAATACATATTGGAAATTCTATTTGACATAATCGAAAGTTCAAGCTTACTTTTTATAAAATTGCTCTAACAGTCTGCAAAAAATAATAAGCCGGATCCAATTCGAAGATTCAGGAACAACGCAATCTGCAACATTAACTGAATTAGATAATTTTAGCTTAGCTTATACCGTCTGTTATACATTAAACGCGTAAACGTATTACGCACATGCGCACACACATATTCGCAGCCGTAAAAGTCTTGAAAGTTTGTAGCTTTGAGGTCCGGATTATAGATCATTCCGGATTATGGGTGTCCGAATTAACGACTTTTGACTGTATAAGGTGTACAAAAAGTGTGTGCGTAATTGAAGCAAACAGCGGGATCAGCTGGCAGCAACGAACAAAACAAGATGTGCATTTCATGGTTCAAAATGTAAGTTTCCGAACTTAGGAAAACAAATAGCTGCTTATGTTCATGATATGCGTGCTTAAGGATACACAGTAACATGGGAAAATGTGCCAAATAAGAATGCTTGTTGTGGCACAAGAAGGCATTACTACATCACACTTCAAGGCGAGTACTGGTTGCGGTGAATGATGAAACGAATTGGATTTTCATACAGTGCGTCACAACAGATTATTAAAAAAATAATGTGTACAAGATATTAAAAGAACCAACGTTTATTTAATTTGTGTAAAAGTAAATATTTAAATTGCAAGTGTTGGTTAATTTGTGCATTTATATTGTGCTCCTGTGGTAACTAATACCCACCGAGTGTTGATAACGTAAACGGGGTAATAGATATATGTGGATAGGAGAAAGTGAGTTTGTAAATTTTAGGTAGCTATTAGACAACTTTAAATTTGATACTTTTATTACTTATGCCATTTTCTTCCACTTAGAACTTAACTTGGCTGTTTGAAATGGAATTTACACCCAAAATTACTCAGAAAAAACGCGACATTTGAACGATCCATGTAATATCTGCACCTGCATTTTAGTGATGTAATTTTGCTAAACAAAGTGTGGACATTATGTGAGCATATACGGTATTAAATATTATCAAAAGTACTCTGAAGCCCCAACGTTTAATATAAGTGCCAAAGAATACATATATTGCAAGGTTTAACATGAAAGAGAAAGCAAATATATTAAGTTGAGATGTTAGGTTAGGTTTTATTAACTTGTGTGGTGATATGGCATAGGGGTAAGAATTTTCTGCCTTTTAATATGGGCTGATTGTAAGATGTCATTTGTGTAGCATATTTATGCAGAGAACTGGAAAAGTGACATTGCTACATTGGTCTCGGCGATGCCAGCCTTATTCTCGGGACACCTGTGTGGTGCAGGATGTTACTTACTTTGTATGTGGGTATATTTTGATTTTAAAATAATCTTATGTGCTAAAACTGCAGTGCGACACCGTTATTATGATTTTCTTGATTTGTCTTAAACGCTATTTTTCAGTATGCAAATTTTAGGTTACATCTCAACTTGGCCAATATTGTGCTTTTATAAATATACTAAACAGAAAAGGATGTGTATTAAATTAAAGATAATGAAAACAGTGTGGCTAATGTTTCTTTAAATTCATGTATTTGAATTATATTTTTGCGATGCAAAAATTTCACTTTGCAACTCTATTTGGGATCAGGATTCACAGTTTAATAAATGTTGATCTAGACCAGCATTTCTTACTCCAGGTGGGGGGTCACAGGACGAGCAGCAAGGAGTTGCCGAAAATTTTAGCAGTTTTGATATTTCTTTAACTTATAATAATTTTATGATTACCAAATATTTTTACACAATGTATCTGAAACTAGATAAAGTTAGACAATACAGACAAAGAAAATGTTTCGACACATTGTTTTTATAATAGAAACATTCATTTTACTTGCTTTGCACATGATGCTGTCATTTCGTCTGTTACTTATTTAAAATTTTCACATTGTTCTCTGTCTTAAAATTAGAAATTAAAGTTAATGACCTGAAACTGCAATATTATATTACAATACAAGTGAAAAATTTGACAGTTTCACACATGTGTGTATCAGATTTGTGCAATGCTTATGGGGTCACACAAAATTTCGTAAAATTATGGGGTCCTGGGGGTAGGGAAAGAATCTCGGTGATAAAAAGGGGTCTTGACTGAAAAAAGTTTAAGAAACCCTGATCTAGAGCTTCCATTTTTAGAAAAAAATAACCATTTAAGTAAAAACAAATCTATAGAATGAAATAAAAAAGGACCCATGACAGCATTTGGCTGTTGGGATAATTTTTCTGTGTCAGATTATAGCTTTCAGCAAAATTTAAAGCGTGTCTGCCAGTTTTCACAAAGTTTTCATAATTTATAGAAGAATTACATTAGTTTTAACACAAGATTTGTATTTAAAGCTCGTATTTTTGCCAGAAATTTGGGTTACTATTTAAAAGTTGTTCTCTTTGTAATGCAGAGAACAAACAATCTTTTCCCCTTTTTGCTACATTATGAATTCTTTTGTTGTTCATTGCCAAGTTTGGTAGTTTTGAGATCAATTTGTTCACAGAAACTTTTGTTTATTGATTTGTGAATTTTATGACAATTGTTTTAACAAATATAAGAATGTAATTATGATGTGTTATAAATAACTACAGCATATTAAAATTTGGTTTTTTAGAAAAACAATATTAAATTATTTTTGTTTCAGTCATGTTTTAAAACGCCTTTGCCTTTCATTTTCACGATTTTTGAATATATTGATTCTGAAATTTAAGCAAAATAATAAATATGGTAAAGCTGAATTTTTAACTTTTTTTCCATTAATGTTCAAATTAATTTCATTTGTCCTAATTTTCATAAGTAATTTTCCCTGTTTAATTCTTTCAAAATACTCATATGTGTATAAAATACATATAAGCTTTTTCTATAAAATTCATTTTATGAATTTTTGTGAAATTCTTTAGAAAGTCTTACGATTTTTATTTTCATAAAGTTGGCAAGTATTTTATTGACTAAAAATCAAGGAAAAGCCACTGTGAAAAATATAATAACAGTAATAAGATAGAGTAAACTGGAGGGAACTTGTGATGAGATTTCTGTGTTATCTGGAGAATTCTCAGGAAAAAAACTGTGAAACGGCAGTACTTCCTTATTATCAAGCCCCCTTCCCGTTACTTAAACAGTACCAAGAGGCCTCTTATTAATGAACTGTAATAAACCAGCAAGCCTATTGACAGCTTTTCTTGTGACAGGTGCATTTATGACTATGTTAAGGATTTCTAGCCGTTTGTCAACAGTTTGCGAAGAGTTCGGTGTATTTTTGCCATTTTTGCACAGTAATTAACAAGAAGGCCTTTGATGCAATTTAATAACAGTGCTGTAATAATAAGGAACTGAATTATAGAGTGTCACTTAAGTTTCTAACCAGTTATTTTGGGTTAATTTACTTTTCTATAAAGTTTCATTTTTATTTCCCTGCCAGAATGCAAGTTTCCAGCATGCATAATATTCAAATTAGGTAGAAGGAAGGAAGTATCTAAAGGAAGATTATGGAGGGTGAATTCAGTGACTTTGATTCTCTAGCAATTCGAATTCTGCGGCTTTGAGTTATTCTTGCCATTAGGCTTGTTTACGCCAACTTCGGTTGGAACCAGCTTGTGCGTTAAATTGTGAAGCTATTACGCTCTATTTAAGTTTCATTAATTTTTGTTCATCCATTATTTTTGATTTAAAACTTGAACTATTGGCTTCTGTAAGTGCAAGTTGATGTTGTCTGTTAAACTTTATTTGGGTTAATAAAAGGATCATTTGTACTCTTTCCCTGTCTCTATGTATTTATAGGACATAGTGAAAACTCACAAATTTTCTTTTGGAGTTCCGGTTTAATTGTATGCTATCTAAGAAGGCCAGATCTTATAACATTTTCAACTTTTCACCCCAGATGTCTTTCTCTTAAACACATTTCTCTTTCTTTTATTTTCTCTTCTTTTATTTTGTGATTTTCATTAGTCAGAAATATGGCAAACTTTGATTCTAAATTTGTTGTATGGGCAGGCATCTGTAGTGAAGAATTTTTTGTAGAAAGGTATTGAAAATTGGCAATTTAAAATAGTCTCCTTAATTTGTATTTGCATTGTATCATTCCATACAATTTTCTGAAAATTTTCTCAATATTGAAATTACTAAATTAAGATTAGTAACTTCTGCTCATTCTAGAGACATACAGTTTAAAAAAAAATGAACTTATAAAGTAAATCATAAAATTCGGAGATGAAACAAAATCTTACTGAGAAAGAAGTTGATTATAGTACGCAAAAGGAAATTCTTCTCCAAAGGAATGTCGTTGAAAATATTAACAAATTAACACATACTGCAGCAGATGATGCAGACAAATAGAAACATTGAGTTTGTTCACTAAAGCAAATTAACTTAGAAATGTGGTGAAAGAGAGGAAGATACATCTCAATAAGCGGAAATATCTGAAACATTTTCAGACTAAAAAGGCACATGGACAATTTGTTTCTTACAGTATATGATTGTCTTAATATCATTTTAAAATTAGTGCAAGAATTTATTTGTAATTATCTGCTATTATAAACTGCAAAATTTTCATAGATTGTGATTTAAATAATGCTTCTTTTAATATATGTTTTTTTTAATAAAGGAATTTTTTAATAATGACAGTATAAATCTTCTTAAAAATATATTTCACAGTTTTAAGTGTAAAATATAAAAATTTCAGAAAGCTATATTCATAATTTAATTTTAGCTTGAAAAGTTGTAAAGAGTTTTATTTTCAAACTGTTGTTATTTAAGAAGGCCAGACACCTGCAACTTAATGCATTTATTGGGAATGGCAAAAGTCATTAGTAATTTAGCCATCTCATCACTGAAAATGTTAGCCATGCAGTGACAGAACTACACACGTGGGGAAGGGGAAGTTTTGTTCCAGTTTTGACCGAAAACACCCTTAGGGGTATCTCCCACCCCTCTTTCCCTACTGCCAAACCTCTAGAGAGGACTTTCAGTTCAACAGCATTTTAAGTACTCTTCATTGTGCTAAGGTACTATGCACTTATAAACATGCATGCGCCTTCTCCTGAATGCCCAGGTTCAAGATTATGGCTCTTCTACTAGCAAGCCATCATAGCAGCGTTTTCTGACTTGTTTTTATAGTTATGTTAAATATTAGATTGTGTTTAATAATAATGTATTCTATGTACTTTTGTTTTATTCTTCGAACAGTATTGCTAGAGTGACAGTGGTTGCAGAGATAATTTTTTCAATTGTGTTTGCTGAAAGGTCCATAATTTTTCTTCATTCATTGTCCTTAAAAATTCTTGCAAGCCCTTAATTTCCATACAAAGGACTGTGTACATATATTTCAGAATCATAAGTTTAGTATCTGTCATTTATACTTTAAATTTTTTTCTTTAATTATATCTATTGTAATGTTATCAGCTGATGCAAGTTATTGTATGTATAATTTTTTTATATATTTCTCATATGAAAAAGAAAGGTTAAAGTAAAAAAAAAAAGTATCAAGCCAACTTACCTGACTAAAGGGAAAAAAAATAAAGGAGGGGAAAAACAGCCTCCTTTTAGCAGTTCAGATGGTAAAGTACTCAGTTCAAGAAATTTGTATTAATTTTTGGGCAACCATGCATTATGAACATCTGTTTTCTGTCTGTGGTTTTTCAGAAAATTTTCCTCTCATTTGCTCTTTTTTTTCCCACTATGTCATTGGTATGGAATTAGAAAAAAATTAATTTTGTTCATCTTAAATCAATAATTGTCATTATATTTTTCAATAATGCAAAAAATTAACTGACTGATGAAAAAAATTAACTAGATGCATGATTCACTTTAAAAAATTCAAATAGAAATAGTTTTGATTTGATATGAAATCGGGTGCTGAATTGAAAATTTACTGTGATCATTATAGCACTTAATTTTGCCAACTTTTGAGGTATGAAAATTAAGTAATTGTTTAGAGATTCTAAATAAATAAGTAAAAGTTTGTGATAAGCAACATATTTATGTTTATCATACATATGACAAAATTTTTACATTAATCTTTCAAGCATCAAGCATCCCATACAATTGAATTAATCTCAATATTATTTTGAAGTATTTTTGCATGAAAATTAGGCATGGTACTAAATCAATATTATATTGGTGTTGTGAATTTTTTTACATGCATACAATGTAACTTTTTTAAATAATTCTTTGATTTTCATAACACGGAAAACTAGGAAAAGGATTTATGGTAGATATTTAATGGTAAATGATTCAAGGAAACAAGTTTAGTGTAAGAATGAATTCTTGTGTGAAGCAAATTAATGGATATAATCTGTATACAAATAAAGCTGGTATCATGAGCTTGATTTTACCTGAAAAAGTACTTTTGTTCTCTAAGGAATTGCCTTTTATTGTCTGTCACAATTGCCACGTGGCTATATGAAAATAATTAATTTTGTGTGTTGTGCTTGAATAATTTTAATACAATTATTCTCTTCAAATAGAATAATTTTGATCAGTAATGTACATAGTTTTTTTTTAACATTAAAGCATAAAATTTATTGTTTTCAACTCCTCAAAGTATACATATGTGACTTTTGCTTCCAATCGTAGGATTCTTTGAATAGTAAGATTCTAGTTGTGGTGCTGCATGTATGACTGACTCTGATGCTTCCATGACTGTCATCAGCCCTCATCAGAGACCAAAGATGGACATTGCTTGTGTAATTGACTTGGTTAGTTTTGAATAATTACTTTCATTATCATGTTATTGCAATTTTTTTATATCATTCAAAAATGAAACATATTACTGTACTTTTTTCATCTCTTATTCAAATTATTTTAATATTACTTGAGCATGAAGGCACATCTAAAATAAATCTTTCTATTTATTAATTCATTTAAAAATTATTATTTAAAATCTCAATTTTAACTTGGTTTCTCAGCTTGTGTCAAGTATTTTTTTTTTTTTTTAACATATACTTGAGGATAAAAGAGGTGTTTTATTCTTAGTCTGGAATACATTACGTCCACACTGTTGTTGGGTTCTCTATATCTCCACACTGTTTAAAAATCATATCTTTTTGAAACCTTGCATAAAATGTATTAGGTCATCTGCAAAATTTGCCTACCAGCGGCTGAGCGATAAAATTGCCAAACACTAGTGGTTCCAAACTGGATTTGAATCCAAATGAACGGGCTGCCTGTATGGGCATTTTCATGGTATTCCCTATGTGTAATGTATATATGAGCCAGTTTCCCTTGGAAAGTCCTCCACAAAGGCATCCCTTCCCTTAGGTAGATAGCCCTAGTATGCTTTGCCATAATAAACTAAACTGTCTGCAAAGCTCAAATCGAAGCACATTTCCTTCTAATTGTTTTCTTGTTGATGATACGGAATGACCTTGATCGAAGGAAGATGTTTAAGCATGATCTTTAGTGCTCATGTTGCCCGATTCTAGTATATGTTGTGGCATAAATTTTGTTTTAGTGCAGTGCTAAGAATAATGAATCCAAAAGTTCATTTTTGTCATATTAATTCATTTGCTCTTTGTTTCAAGGATAAATATTCATTTGCTCTTTTTGTTTCAAAAAAAAAAAAAAAAAAAAATTACCAGTCAGACTGCACGTAAAATTTATGCTGTATAGGAACACAGTGCTGTTTCTGGTTACACAGTTCAAAGTTGGTTTGAGAAGTTTATGCATGGAAATTTCACGGGTGACCTTCATTTGCTAACAAGGGCCTGTTAAAAGGTACCAGTGAAAATCCATGTTATACAGTTTAAGAACTGTCAGACAGACTAAATATTCCAAGAAGTACAGTGCATAATCATTTTAAGAATATTGGTATGTAATCTGCTATGATATATGGGAACCCCATATTAGTGTAGAATATGCTTGCTTGAGTTTCAGCATGTGATTCATTGTTAATAAAAAAATAAAGAACTTTTAAAAACAGTTCATAACTGAAGATAGAAAGTGAATATTATACAAGAATGTTACTAGAAAATAATCATGGGGTAAGCCAAAAGAATTTCCTGTAGTGATATCAAGATGGGAGCTGCATCTGAAAAACATAATGCTTTATGTGTGGTGGGACTGCAAAAGAATTATTGCTACTAAATCAGATAATAAATCTGGAAAAATACTGTTCCCAAATAGCAGTTTTAAAAGCAGGAGTACAAGCAAAATGCCCAGAGCTGACCATTTGTCAAGGAGATAATTTCAAACATGATAATGATTGACCCCAAATTTTGATGAATGTCAAAGATTAATTGAGTACAACTCGGCTGTTTTGTGTCACCCCTCATATTCATTATACCTTGCCCCTTCAGATTTTCATCTCTTTAGGTCACTTAAGCATTCTTTGGATGGTGTGGTATTCACTTCTTTAAAGGCTGTCGAACAGCGCCTAATAACTTCTTTACAAGTAAACCTAATATTTTTTTTTTTTTTAAATGCAGCTTTCGAGTTGAAAGAGAGATGGCAAAAACTCATGGAACAAAATGGTGCATATGCGATTCAAGGAAATTTTCTCATCTTTTTTATACTCCTTCATTTGTATTTATCATTAAAAAAAAAAAAAAAAAAAAAAAAAAGAACAGAACTTTACTGATCACTGAATAAAACATACATTGAACAGTTAACTAAATTGAGTTGTTTTCAAATTTTTGATACATTTCATGTTCAGTGTTTTTTGTTCAAACACTGTTGAATGCTTTTGTTATGCAGTTCAATGTATTTATTAAAATGGAAAGAGTAGACGCAAACAAACTTTGAAATATAATATCTAATTTTGCTACTTATTTTATGTAAACATTTCAAGAGGTGAAATGTTTGCTGGAGTGTATTTTTATGTGTTAACTTTGACAGTAAGTTTCCATTTTTATAAAAGACTAGATTAATGACTGTATGTAGATAAAGGACTTGGCAGAGAATTACAGCAAAACTGTTTTGCAGTCTGTACTTTGAAAATTAATTAACATTCAAAATGAACAAGAATAAATTTAAAAATAGGCCAGATTTTTACTGGACTTGTAGTTGCTGTATTGTTGCAAGGTTCATGTTCCACTTCATTAATTTCAGTTAAGATTTTGTAACCATCTATTATGTGAAAGGAAACTTAAAAGTTATGTAACACTTCATATGTGTAGAAATAAAATTCAGTTTAAATAAGCAGCATAAAATGGGAAAATAAATATAGAAGACATTACACCAGTAATGACTTCAATAAAGATTCAATTTCACAGTTCTATCTTGATAATTTTTTGAGTCTGAGAATATTATGTCAGTGTGTCAATGTACAAATAAGATGAAATATTGAGTTCTTGTGTAGGTAAACTCATGAGACATTAAATTAATTTGTACGAAGAATCGGGAGGATTAATTTGTGCTATTTAGAAGCTCTGATATTTCTGAATGGCTGGATAAACATCATGTTCTGCATCAGTTGATAGCTGGCAGTTTTTTAGACCAAAATAAAAATTTACGATAACAGATTTCTTTGTGCAAAGATCAATTATGGGCAACTGCTTATTGCTTTCAAAAACTATTACAGTGGCTGTAGACCAGTTATTATTTCACAGACAGTGAAATCCTTGATTCTGTTGATGATTGTAATTCTTCATTTTCTTCAAAATCTGCTAAAGATACTGTATTATCTGTTTCATTTAACAAGTATTTAAGCTTTGGCAATCTCAAATAGATACTACATAATCACTTGGTGGTGGATGATGCTTCATCACCAGGATTTGGCAATTGAGTCCTCTAATTCTCAGTTGCCCTTTAAAAGGGGGAGTATATAAGGTATTTCTCCCACCTTCTTAACATGCCTTTGTGGTATAATGGTCAGCACACTCAACGTGTATTCAAGAGGTCTGAGGTTCGAGTCCCAGTGAGGGAATTGCTTGTTTTTCATGTCTTCTGCTTCCAAAAAACCTAATAAACTCTACAATTCTGTTGAATTTGCTTTAACAGGAAGACTGTATAATGAAATTTTTAATAATGAAGTTAAAGTCAGTATGGAGACTGTCGCTGAATAAGTGTTCAAAATGAGCGAGTTTTGAGGCAATGAGTATTTCCATTCTAAAAACTTGCTTTGACTGTTCAACATATTTCATATTTAACGACAATATTCTTAAACAGAAAACCTTTAAGTGAATTTAATTTGAAACTTTTTTGCATACGCATTATTTATGTGCTTTCTATGATACTTTTGTTTTTAAATTAAGCCTTTTGTGAAAATTTTTGTAGCTTAGCACTGATTAGAACTATAGGATTTAATAGCAGTGTTGGAAAGAGCACTGCCATTAAATCTTTGTATTATCATTGAAGTGAAATCCTAGTATTTTTAAAATTAGAGCTTTCCCATAAAAAGATGTAATAATTTAGGAAAATCAATTTATAAATCCCTGGTCATGTAACTTAGTATTACTGTAATATTAATCGGGTAGTTGAAAAGGATGTAGCTTCTAGTACACAATGCAGTTAGAACCATTGATGAGCTGTAAGAGGCTTATATGAACCTTTTGTTAAGTTTAACTTGAATTTTGCAAGTTTTTAGTTCCTTTTGTTATCTTAACACACATAAATTAATTATATACTAAAATTAAATGAATTTGAAGAATTAATGATGAAAAACAAGAAAAAATTCACAGATTAGCATGAGAAAAATTTCTGAACTGCCTCATGATGTCTTAGAAAATGTAATGATAAAATAAGAAATGAAAATGGTAAGCTCAGCAATGAAGAATTAAAACCTATTTTTCATGTTTGGACATAAAAAATGTAACATATTCATGGCCTGAAGAAGATAAAGGGATAAAAGTAAAAAAAAAAAATTAATTCAATAAGGAATTTCTCTCATCTTCTTAGCATGCCTTTGTGATGCAAAGCCCTGTTTGCGTTAGTGTGTTGCGAACTTGTAGCATCACTGGGAGAAACGCATTACACAGATGGACGACTGTTTACACTACTGCCTTGGATTTGCGCTTGCGGAATTTTGGTGTTCAACTGCATTTATTGACACCAGATGTCTCCGTATTTAATTTATGGGATTCGGACTCTTAAGGTACTTAAATTCAATTTTATTGGAAATTTTTATTTCCGCTTATGAACTGTGAAAGTAAAGCACACTACCAATTTTTGGGTGAGTAAGGTTATAATGCAAGTTATGAACATCGCTAATTGCATAGAAGCTGAATTAATTTTTAAAAATTTCTCTCCATTTCTAGAAACCTTAAATATTAATGAAATAATATATAATTAGAATTAAAATGTACTGTTAGTGCAAAACAAATAAAAAAGTTAAACACATTTAAAAATAGCTGGTACTTTAAAAATACAGAGTAACTAAAAAGAAAGGTTCACAATATTTACACAAAATTTGCTGTGCTTGTATCTGGCTGACTGCCATGTGAGATTGTATATTTTTAAAATATGCCCACATTTTGCGAGAAAACAAATAATATATAAAATTTTTGCATCAGTTTATTCAGTGTCATAGCTGGATAATTTAGAAATCTCTATTGTTTTAAAACACACTAAGCGCAGTTATATTTTATGCATAATTATAAATTTATACATAATATTTTATGCAAAATTAAAAATTTTAAATTCATATCCTTTTTTTATAGAAGTCATAAAGTTCACAAAGTCATAAATTTTTTTCTCTTTATATAAAGATATATATAACATAAGTTAAGAAAATAGAAATATTTAATTAAATAATTCCTGCGCTTGAGCTCTAGTGGACTGAATTTTAAAAGCAATTATTATAGTAATATTTTAAATATTGTTTTATTAAAAAGGGAAGTACTGTCTCATGTTAATTTGCTAGTGAAAATGTAAGAGCTGAAAGCATCCCACAGTCTCAGCACATGTTATATACATTCACATAAAAAGTGAAACAAATATATATATATATATATTATATACTGGGAGTATGCTTTAAATTCGTATTATATTATAACTTTCAAAATAAATTCTTACAGGGAAAATTTAAATAAATAAATAAGAACATAAGTAAAACATTATGTTTAATGCACATAATAATACAAATAAATTATAAAACACAAATATAGATCAAATTGAAACACAGAGCTAAGAAATTTGCAACAGTGGGAAAAAGAGTATGGGATTCAAACTGACGACCCCAAAAGTCAAATACCGCTACCTTCAGCTTACCACTATGCTATCACCACGTAGATGTAATTAGCAATTTTGGCTTATATACATCATCAAGTAGATAAATTCTTAAAACTAAATTTTTCGGTCCTATTTCATTGTGCTTTCATCTAAAAATTCATCAGAGTTTGTTCTTTGGCTTTTGAGGCATTTCTTACAAAAACATAATTTTAAAGTGGTGTTTCGGTTGAAGTTAGATGGACTGCTAAAAATATATTCCATATGAAAGATGTGCTTACAAATATATGTTAGCCAAAACGGTATATTTATCAATAGAGAAATACAAATTTAACAAAATTTTAATGTAGTAGAATATTTGAAAGGCTATCAAATTTAATTTATAAATAATTTATTAGTTTTTTACCTGTTTCAACAGAAAAAAAATTAATGCCTTATCTGATTTGCTATAGCAGTTTGATATAGTCAGGTGTTCGTTTTCGTTAAAAGTAAATGTGTATTCAGAACTAGGAAATAATTGTCTGGACAAATTTTGCTTTTTCATGTACTTGGAATTATATTTTTTGTACCTGATTTTTCTTGACAGTAATTGCTGCTCTATGCAAACTAGTACTGTAGTTGCAGTTATCTTATTTTTTCTTTTTTTTAACTAAATTCGGTTGATTGCTTTCTTTTTCAGTATGCAGATTTCCTGCTATAATATTAATTCAGAATTAAGTATTTTTTAGTAAAACATTTTCCCCTTGATCCAGCGTTCATCGCTACTTCTGTCACCATTATTTTTTGGCGACAAACCTGATTGCTCCTTTTTAACCACATGACCCCAACTCTTCTGCAGACATACGAATAGAAGTTGAACATCATTGAACTTCATCTGTATGTCACTGCACACCGACCGGATTACGAATACCAATCAAAGAGAATTTGTTCGCTGATTGGAGAAACTCATATGCACTGCATTCACAATGCAATAATAGAAATGGGCCTTAATCAGCACCCTCAGCGCGTATTCGAGAAGTCCGAGATTTGAGTCCCAGCAAGGGAATTGTTTTTTTTTTCGTGTCACCTGTCTCCTGAACTTAAAAAAAAAGGTGGTGGTGGATGATGCTTCATCACCAGGATTTGGCAATTGAGTCCTCTAATTCTCAGTTGCCCTTTAAAAGAGGGAGTATATAAGGTATTTCTCCCACCTTCTTAACATGCCTTCGTGGTATAATGGTCAGCACACTCAACGTGTATTCAAGAGGTCTGAGGTTCGAGTCCCAGTGAGGGAATTGCTTATTTTTCATGTCTTCTGCTTCCAAAAAACCTAATAACTCTACAATTCTGTTGAATTTGCTTTAACAGGAAGACTGTATAATGAAATTTTTAATAATGAAGTTAAAGTCAGTATGGAGACTGTCGCTGAATATGTGTTCAAAATGAGCGAGTTTTGAGGCAATGAGTATTTCCATTCTAAAAACCTGCTTTGACTGTTCAACATATTTCATATTTAACGACAATATTCTTAAACAGAAAACCTTTAAGTGAATTTAATTTGAAACTTTTTTGCATACGCATTATTTATGTGCTTTCTATGGTACTTTTGTTTTTAAATTAAGCCTTTTGTGAAAATTTTTGTAGCTTAGCACTGATTAGAACTATAGGATTTAATAACAGTGTTGGAAAGAGCACTGCCATTAAATCTTTGTATTATCATTGAAGTGAAATTAAAAAGCTTACAAAGTAATTAAACTGAGCGATATCTGACGCAGCTTCTCTAACCATCTAGCTTCTGATTGAAGTTATAGGTGTCATGTATTATTTGAGTGCCAGGCAAAGAACATCTAATAATCCGAAGTGAACTGATAAATTTTACTGAAGTTATTCAGTAAAATTTATCAGTTTATCTAGAGTTATAAACAAAGATGTTTTTAAAGGATTATTTCAAGTGTATGGCTTTATTTTCCTTTTACTGTTAAGATTGTACCTGAATACCTCATTCAGCGTGAAAAAGCATATGAAGAAATTCAGAAGGCTTGTCAAGCTGTTGGTGGCACATTTTATCACATACAGTTTGAAAAACTAGATTTTGGTGAAATGAATGTCTTGGATCTTTTCTACAATGCAGATGTAGCAATAGTTGATTTGTCTGTTTTAGTAAGTGAAAGCATTTTGTTTTATTTAAAATTTTAATTTTGTCATGTATTACTTTTAATGCAAGTTATGTGAATTTAATTTTCATCATTTAGGATCAGCAAAGTCCATTGTTCTATCGCTTAGGGGTAAGAGAGAGCTTTGGAATGAAACAGAATATTCTTCTATATAATGACTGTAATCCAAATTCAGCTGTTCCATTAAAGGTATGCATATTATATGGGCAAGAAATGATTTATTTTATATTATATTAGAATATAGTATTTTATGAAGCATCAAGGGGGAGAAAATAGTTTTGGGAGGTACAGACAGCTGAGTCTTAATTATCCAATCTTATGATGACTATGGATAACCGGGAACTAGAATAGAAGTTAAAGGCTGGAGATATTTCGGATAAAAAATTATGGAGATGGAAAGTTTTGCTTATTTCTATGGTTAAGATTCTCTTTAAAGTTTCATTTCACAACGTAGTGAATTACACTGCATAAAAGCATACATGTTCATGGTTTTTATTTTGCTTCATTGTGTTCACAGATAACACATACAGTACATTAAAGGACAAAAGTGTCTCTTTTGTCTTCTCATTTCAGTAAGAGTGATTTTTCTTGCTTATTAAACTTATTAAAGTTAATATGATAAAATGAAACTGAAAGAAATAATTGTTACTTGCATATTATTACACCTTTGTTATTTAGATAGCATCAAGAGCCTTTTTGTTAATTAATTGTGGCAAAGCAGTCCCCTTATTTTGAGCCATAATAACTGATTAAGACTGCCAGCTATTTATTGTTGGTTTGCAATGAGCTATGAGTAGGGTTATATACTTTGGTGTAGTCCATAAACTAAAGTACTTTTGGTTCTACAAGGGTAATGAGAACTGGAATAACAAGGAAGTGGTAAAAAATTTTGTAATGCATTTTTTATTGTTTTAAATTTTTATAAAGTTATCCATTGTTTTAACAGTTTTCCATTTAACCAAATGTTTGGTTTCTTTTTTGTAAAAGAAAGATGTTTTAGGTAATATAGTGTATATCTTTTTTTTTTTTTTTTTTTTGTTTTTTTTAATCTGATCAGTATTTTCAAGCTGTGCTTGTTACAGAAAGTGCTGTAGAAATCAAAACCAATTATAATTTGTCAAAATAGTCTTGTGAATGAGGCATACGGGGCAAAATTTCCAAGCCTAAATTGATTAATGGTAGATATTTAACATTAGAAGTTTGGTTGAATACAATTGAGTGGTCATTAGCAGAGGTTTGTGATGACAGTCTGCCTAATGCAACTGTATCTTATAGTATTCCACCACATACACAACAAAGTGTTTGGGGGGATATGTTTTGGTTTAGTGCTGCAACTTCATACTTAGTAGAATCTAAACTATTGACAGCCATTATTTTTTTGCACTTGATTTTCAATGTAGAAAACCATTTGCCATCCTGTGACAATTTAACAAACAACAGCTTTATTTTTGGCTACTAAGTATGAAGTTGCAGATAAAGGAAATACTGGACCTTGGTAGTTGAGAATTCTTGTGGTACCTAAAAACCCATGCATATAGACTATCCCAAATTCATTGAAAGTGCTCTTGCATGTAGACTATGATGACTGCCTTTGGTTGCCCTTGATCTGATAGGGACTTATTATTGCAGAAAAATGTATGAAAGCAGCAGAGTATTATCCAGGTATCCTTGAATAAAGTGCATCTACCAGATCAAAATATCCCAGCTGGAATTTAAAAAACCAACCTGGGTGTTTCTTTTGTTTCACTTTCTAAATATGTAGTTAAGCATAGTTATCGTAATTTTTTTTAATCAGTGTGGGCTGCCATAAAAAGAAAATAATTGACAGAATAAAGGAGTTTTTATAAGGGGGTTTGTGCTTTTATTGTTATGTGTAAATATTATAATGTAAAAAGCACAAAAAAAAAAAAAAAAAAAAAAAAAAAAGGATACTATGATAAAACATACTTCTAGTAATTTAAAGAGGAAAAATATGTACAGCGCAGGCTCATAGAAAATTAAGTGGCAGATTACAGTAGTCACTAGTTTTGAAGTAAAAAACTGTTTCAAAATAGGGAGAGAAGAATTCATGGATGATACAGTAAAAGTGTGTCTGAAAGCCAGTCTCCTGCATCATAAATTAGATCACCCATCTGTGCGTGATTCTTAAATAAAATATGTATCTGGTTCAGATAATCTTATTTCTAGAGATACTTTGGAATATAAATTTATAAACTTTACACATATTTTAGAAAAGAAGCAATTAAAAAAACAACTAAAAGATAATTCATTAGTTGTGGTTGTTGATAAAACATGAGTTTTTAAATTTTATTTGCATTAGATTGATAACAGAAACAGTGAACTGTATTTCTTTATTCGTTTGATTTATTATTATGTTTTATTTTTATTCCTTTAGGAATAAAAGCAAAATTTCGATTTTTGACATTTAATTCTCATAAAATTTCCGTTTTTGAATGTGAAAATTACATATTCCTAATTAATAGCTTTGCAAAATTCATAGAACACGCAATGATAAAGATGTTTACCAATGGTTTTCAAAGAAAAATGAGTTTGAAATTTTTACAACAGCAGATCTTATTCTAATACTAAATACTTCTAAATATTTCACTTTGCCAGGGCAGGACTACTTAATTCAGCTGTCTCAAAATTAGCATTGAGAGAGTCATTAAACATTGCTTTTGGATTAGCCGAGTATAGCCATTCTTTACTTTGCAGCAGGTTTCTGCAATCACCTCAACATCAAAATGTTGGCAGATATCTTGTTTTCTTAATGTCCAATTTACAACTGTGGTGGTATTTAGACCAAATCTGATGAGTTTCTATTTTTCAATGAATACAGGAGTCACAAAAACATTTATAAAAGAATTCTTTGAAGAAAAAGGCATATTATCTTTCTGGCTTAGTGAATACAGTGCCTTAATTTAACAAAGCTGAGGCAGTCAGAGCTGTATAGGATTTAGGGACTAAATTGTAATGATAAATAACAAAATTTCTTACATTGCATTCTATTAAATTGAAGTTACAAATTTTATTAGAATGAGAAAATTTAATCCATGTACCGTAAATTATATTTCAGGGGGAAATATTTCATTGAAGTTAATTGTAAATGTCAGTGTGGAAATTTGAACAAAGCAGCATGAGAGGTTGTTTAATTATGACTTTTTTATTGTTGCTAAAAAGCATAAAAGCTAAGTTACTGCTTGGAGCATGTTAACTTTTTTTGAAGTTCCATTGTTGTATACCTTTATCTTCTTTTTATGTTGATAAAGGAAAAAAAAAAACTTCTGTTAGGAAATATTTTATGTATTTATTTGTTTTTGTATGTATATTTAATGATGCCTAAAAGAGAGAATTTAGTTCATCATATTTTAATTGAATGCCTAATTTTATTTGTGTTTGTGACTGCAGTTTTATTCATGTTGTGTCTTTATCTGTAAACTGAGAAAAGAAATTTGTTAATTTTGAAATTTAAGTTTTTAAGATTGCATTTTTTATAGTTTGATTTATGTTTTTAAATTAGAAGTTTTGGTTTAAGCATTTTAAAGTCACCATTTAGCTGACTACCAAACTAAAATCAGGATCTAAAATAATTCAAGATTATCTATCATATTTATTTTTAAAAAAATTCTCTCTTAATGCAACTTATTTAGATCTCTTGATAAATAATTAACTTTCTCAATTCACATCTTTGTGAATATGAAGCTTCTCATACTTTTCTTCAATGCAAAATACTACATGACCTGGATATAATTTGAATAAACAACCTCCTAATTTGAAGTCAAATGTGCTAAAGTTGGAGAAGATTTTAAATGAAATGAATAATTTGATTTGTTGTTATTTGTATGGTGCGGATAATGTAAGTAATGTACCTAAACTCAACAGTTACTTGTGTGATGAAGTTAACAAGTGAATATTAGAATGTAAATGAACTTCTATGATAATTTGCATCTATACTTCTAACAGTCACTGTTCAGAATGTTTTCTTATGCTGCTAAAATTTAAGAATAAGTAGATAAATAAATATTTTTTTTAACAACATCTAATAAACACAACTACAACATCTTATAAAAGTATTTAAATTTTTTTAATTTAATGGAGTTGGTTTTCTTTTAAGGGCAGATTGAACACATTAAAATTTAAATGTGCCATTTATTTCAAGCAGTTTATTGTAATGGCAGTATACTGAATATTACTGCTACACTGAAACCATTCCATTTTACTTACATACAAATATTACAAATTTTATAAATGTGGTAACATAGGCTGAAGTTTCTATTAAAATAGTCATTCTGAGTATGCAATGTTGAAAATTCAAAAAATCCTGCATGCTTGAATTTTGATTAATGTGAAAAATATATAATAATCTAGTTGCTGGCAGGTATTCGGGCAACTCGGGGAAAATATTTTGGGGTGTCTCAGGTGTTCTTGTTCATTATCATTGTCCAAACAGGTATGAAGCGTATTTTGGTTGCACTTCATGAAAGATAAGAATTAGCTAATGAGAAAAAATGACTACTTTACATGATTGCTTTTGCTTTCAATGCATATAATAGAGTTCAAATTACTATTGTGAATAAAAATGGTTATGACAACAATGTTATTGAACGGAATTATATGCTGCCATTTCGCTGTCCCCCCACATTTTCTTCCACTCAAAAGTTATCTACTTTAAAATTACTACTATCTTTTTAGCTGCGTTAAAAACCCTTTCTCCGAAATCTAATTGGACTTCATTTTCATCTGAAGTTTTCAAAATTAGTATTCTATGCCACTATTTCAAATACTGGCAAGATTTCTGCATGGATGACTTGTCCCTTTATATATTAGATTTTGATTGCTTTTACATGACTATGCCTTTTATTGGCTTTTTGTCAAAATCATTCGTATTTTTTCAGATGGAAGATAAAATGATTTCACATACCTTATCCATTACAAACGTAACTTAATCTACTGTTCAGTTCAGTGTAGATTTGTTCAGTGCACTTGATGATTTAAACAGTAGTTCTGAACGTAATTCTGATTTCTGCAACTCTGATAAAGAAACTGTGGATTTTTCTTTTTTATTAATTGTGTGTTTGTTATTTTCCTGATTTGAATTATATCAGTTCTCTAAAGTGATTCACCTTTAGTTCATTCAGTACTAAAATGAGATACACAATCAGATTGTCATAATTTATACTGATTCAGCTGAGACTATGCTGCAGAGTGGCTTTTAAGCCCCACCTAGCTACTTCATCATGGTGGAGGTATATGCTATTAGGTGGATGAGGTGGATGAATAAAGTATATTGGGACCTTATCTTTTTTTAAGTCAAGGCAATTCCATTATGCCCACCTTAAAGTTAACAGGCATTATGTGCTAAAGTCATTTTTGGACCACTAGCATATCTTAAACCATCAAATTAGGAAAAGCAGGTAACAGCTGTAATGGATTTTTTAGAATATTTTTGAGCGATCATTTATATATATAAAAAAATTAATGATTTCAAGCTCAACCTTTCCTTATTTATTCACCTCTGGAGTTTCACTTCCTGCAGGTTTTTCTTATAAATATTAAAATATATTTCATTTCTGTAATTATGTATATGTTATGTAATTGTTATGTATATTTTATCTTTTGTTCTTGTTTAACTTTATTAATCAACCGTATTTCTGCAAACATCTAAATTTAAACAGCTAAAGAAATTCATTTTTATACTTCCCCTCCCCCCTTCCCTTTCTTTCTTTCCTTTTTTTAATATGTTACATTGAACAAATTACAGATTTTCTCCATGTTCCCTGAGTTTTGATAAAAATAATAAATAAAGAAAAGCCGTATTAAACAAATGTTTGGGTTTTGTGCATTATTTTAGAAACTTAGTTACATTAAATAAGTCAGCACCAAGTACGACATTTTTCTGTAGTTAGTAATATTTGAGGTATCTAAACAATTAAAAACATACGTTATGAATGAATGCATATTTAATAAATGTATATCTAATAAGAATTTAATAATGTGTGCTGAATAATATACTGAATAATGAAATGGAATATATGTTTGCTGATTGTTACCTTTTAAAAAAATTAAAACTTTGTCTAAAATATCTTTCAGCTTTCTTGTGCAAACTACATGTTTCTATCATACAAGCTAAATGATAGTGGTCAATGTGTCCTTACTGATCCCTCTGGTGTAAGAGGTGCAGATGATGGGTCAGAAAGTAAAATAGTGCTGAGTTGCCGCCTTAAAAAAATGTTACAAGAAGTAGAAGTTCAAACTAAGTAAATAACTTTATTGCTAATTTTCCTATATGCTGAGTTGCTAAAAGTATTATCATGTGTTTTTTAAGGTAAATGATGAAATTAAAATTTAAAGTACCTTCTTGAGTGAGTGAGGAAATTTCTGCTGTTAGCTTAACTACAATAAATTATAATATAATTTCTATTTTTGTACAATAAAAGATTAGATGATTATTCTATTTCCTAGAACTTTCTTTTCTCCCCTTCGCCTCACTGTGTATGAGAAGTTCAGAGCACAAGGTGCAAAACTCCATCTTGGACCAAGGTCCATACAGTAAAAAGGTTCGCGCATAAGAGAGAAAACGTGTTGAATGGTCATCGACATCATGACATCACAGGGAGACCTCTGTCGCTTTCTCTCATACTACGAGGGTAGAAACTACGGTAGGCGCTTGAAAAGAATTTGCGCTTTTTTGACTGTTCTGATTTGCTAGGTATTTACATTAAAGTGTTGAAGAAAGATATTAACTAAACCATAATTTAACATGTCTAAATATGTAATAAACATTTTGTATTGACATACATACAACTTTTGAAATATATATTTAAAACTAAAGGTAATCGAATAAATAAATAAATGAATGAACACTGACATGAAAAAAAATTTGCATTGTACGTACCCTTATTTCTTTGACATATTTTATACCTAAGCGTGTAATATCTAAGACAGTTTATAAAGATATTTTATAAAAATAAACTTTGACTGATTTAAACCAAGGGCAGATTAAGTTCAAAATCAAAAACCGAATTATGTGCTGTTTATTGCATAAATTAGTGGCTATATTTATTAAATTCTAAACATAATCTAAGCTAACTCAAATATCATACTGAATAAGGAACTGGCACATAAGAAACTTGCAAATGCTGTAAAAGAACAAACGAGATTTTTGCATTTGCAGATTTTTTTATGTGACAATTCGCTATTTCAGAATTGAAAATATTTTTCGTCCAAAGGGGCTATGTCCCTGAAGGACTATTGTTTTCATTTTGCGATGAATCACTATAAATGGCCGTTTCGCTTTCCAAATTGTTGCCACCAAATTTTAGAATCCTGCATTATATTTGAAGAAATTAAATAATGAAAAATCTGCATAAATGTATGTATATTTCTCTCATTGTGATAAAACAACGGTACATAGAGCCATCGAATTTTGAATGACGTAATCCCTACTGCGAATATGGGCGTGTGGAAGACCAAATGAAATTTGTTTTAATATCAATTTCATATTTTGTAAAACTTAACGAATTTTTTAGTAACAAACTCAACAATTTGAAAGCAAGCAATGGCAACAATCTACGAGAGGAAAAAAAAAAAACTTTTTTATCTCCAGTGCACAGAACTGTGTATCGGAAATTTTAAAGATAGGCTCATTTTAAAATTATTTTACAACATTGCTATTGAACTGAAATTTATGGTTTAAGTACAAAGAACATGAAATTTAATAAATAAAGGTAGCACACAAAATGTTAAAAAAACACCCCTTTGGACACAATTTAAAATCTGAAACCTTTCAGAATAATTTTTTAAAATTATTTATTTATTTTATATTGTGAAGATGCATTGTCGTTAATCACGTTTTTGGTTAAGAGGATCTTTTGACCATATAAATACTGACGGAACAGCCTTTTTCTCCAGGATCTGAAATCATAATAAAATAGCTATTAATTCATATGTGACATAAATTAAGAATTAATTAATAAATAGATTCAGCTCATTATTTTAACGTATTTCAAGAAATTATATCTATTAATTTCAGTTAAAATATGGCTAAGGATTCTTGAAATGTATAGCTCTCTAAGAGGAGAAATTTATTAAAATATGCGCTTCTGTTATGTTATAAAAAATGACCTCTACAATTCACTTCTTTATTGGCTAAATAATTTAAGAATCTGTTTTTCTGCATTGTCATTATTCCATAGTATAATATAAAAATACTCAGTAAATATTTTTACCTTTTGATATAAAAAACTCAGTTACATTACATTAATATTTAACTTTTTTAACATTTTTAAATACTTTTTTATAAACTTAAAAAAAATTTTTTTTGCTTTTATAGGATTATTTGAAATTAATTATTAATTTCAATTTTTGGTCTTTGTGAAAAGTAAATTTCTTACGTTATGTCTTTGCTGATAATTTTTCAGGAGCTTAATGCACGAAAATACTAGACATGTTTATATTTTGTTTTTAAAAAATGCTTTGTAATTTCATATATATATATATTGTAATCTTCTGTAATTTAAGCTGTTTTGGCACAAAAAGATATACAAAATTCTTCTATAAACAAGCTCTGAATTTAAGCTTATTATTTTACAATTACTACTGAAGATAAAATATTTGATGGTATAAAACAGAAGTGAATATTACGTAGCATTAAAATAAAACAAAACTATTGAAAATTTACTAACCTTGAAGAAAAGATTCTCACTGACATAAACACAGAACCTCACAGGAGTTCAGCATTCTAAAGCAATGATTTGGCATTTTCCTTAGACTCTGGTCGCCCTGTGACGTCATACATTTAGACTTGACGCATGCGCTCTATGTCTCAGTTTCCAAATGCACAAACCTTTTCACTGTACGTATCTTGATCTTGGACAGTTTTTCAGAAAAAAGTATCTTTATTTAAAATGTTACAAAAAGGACGAGAAAACTGAAAACGTAACTGCAACTCTCCTGGTTTCATTAGGAGACTTTCAAATTTTCATCACATCTTTCATTCTCTTAATAGATCACTGAATCTCCAGGATTTAAATTTTTAGCTTTTATCTAGAAAAGTGTTTCCTCACCAATAAATGAAATTTATTGAATTAATATAACTTTTAAATTGTTCAAATTTTATTCTATCTCTCCATAGGGATTTTCAGCATATTTTTTGTTATTCAATGGTTTTGATCTCAATTGTCGTAATGTTCTGCAAATTACCTTAGAAATCCACTTTACGCACAGATTCAGCTAATGTTTAAACAATTAATATTTGCATTTAATTTTGTTTTATGTATACCAAAATGCTTTTTTATTTGAAAGTGCATATTATGATGCATAAGTATCCATGGGATTGAGTTACTTACCATACTGGGAGATGAGGTGGTTATAATTAATACCAAAATGCTTTTTTATTTGAAAGTGCATATTATGATGCATAAGTATCCATGGGATTGAGTTACTTACCATACTGGGAGATGAGGTGGTTATAATTAAAGTTCCACTTTGAAATGTTCATGAAAGGAAAAGTACTGGATCAAATGTTATCAAACTTATTAATCATGTGAAGGAGGTCATGGAAATTTGTTTTCTGCAAAAAAAATTTTTTAAATACTCACCACTAGGGGGTAAATGGCACTGCATGCAATACTGTTAAATAATCATTTCTGAAACATGTGTTACAAAGGATGTTCAATGTGGTGTCCAGCATTTTCCAAAAGCAAGTTAATTTGTATTACTGCATTCTCAACAGCAATGGACATGTCGGTGTATCACATCTTTCAGTTCCATTAAATTGTTTAGATTATCACCACAAACAGTACTTTTGAGGTAACCCTGTAGCCAAAAGTCACAGGGGTTGAGGTCTGGTGAATGGGATGATTAAGAATTGGGGATAAGTCTGGCTATAATCCGTTCTTTCGTGAAATGTTGCCTAAATAAACTGTGTGACATGTACCAGTGTGCGATGGGAGCCCGTTCTGCATAAAAATCATAGTGTCTAAAGTGCTACATTGCTGCAGTTCAGGTATCATAAAACATCTTAACATTAATGGTAAGCGAGCTGCAGTCACATTGCATGTAACAGGTCCAGCTGTCGACTGCTTTTCAAAGAAAAATGGACCAATTATGAAATTAACTCTCGTACCATACCAAACGGTGACTTTAGAAGACAATGGAACTGGGTAGATACCATGAGAGATTTGTAAGAAACCGATTTCCTAAATGCACACACTTTTGCAAGAGATTTGCAATCTCACATGCTCTAATTTGTGATTTTAACAGATGGATTTCTCCTTTACATGGATGGCACGCTCAACGTTTAAATGGTAATTTTGTTTAGGTCAATGTTTCTTAAGGGTATACAACATGTTCAATGTGTGTAACAAATGGTTAACTCTTAGTTACACAGGTGGCGCACAGAATGCTACAGTTCTTGAAAACCTTTTTGCGAATTCCAAGAAAATCACATGACTAACACCTGCTGCCAAGCTAACCTTTGTCTATTTATTTGTTTTACAAAAGGAAACCGTAAAAGGTTGAAGGTCACAGTTCCCCGCATTTAATTTTCAGGATTGTTTTCGACAAGTCTCTCGTGGTGCACAAAGTGCTACATTTGTGTAACAATGTATTTGTTTTCACACTTTGTAGTTTGTTTTTTAATCATTATTGTTGATCCTTTGATCCTTGAATTTCTGATACTAATTTTTCTGTCATGTTACCAAAATAAATATCTGTTATTTAACAGAGAATTTCACACGCCTGAGTGTTTCTAGTATGGAAACCATGAATTACAGCTTTCAATGCTACCTTTTGATCCTTCTATGGACAGAATAGCTTTCTGTCTGTGGTTGCTATCTGTAGTCTGCAAAAATGTATGTCAAAGGTATTCAAAAACTTGTCTCTAATATGATAAGGAGAGGCTTTGGCTGAGTGGTAAGAGTGCTAAACAATGGTAGTTCAATTTGGTTTCAGATCCTAGTGAATAGGCTAGTTGTGTGGGAGTTTTTTTTTTTTTTGTTCTTTCCATGTCTAATGTGAATATGAGCCAGTTTCTTTCGAAAAGTTGTGCATCTCTCCTCTTAAGCAAATAGGCCTTGTGTATGTTGCCATAATTAAATTAACTGTGATCCTAATCTCAGAATATAAATGCTTCAGTATTGTAGATTCCTGCATGGAATAAGAGTCCAAGTTATGCACTTTCAAAATGAAGACTCCCTCCCCCCAAGAATGTTTTTCTCTTTTTTGCTTTTGTCAGGCAAGTATTACTCTTGCTTAAGTGTAGTGTAATATATGTTAAACACTGCCCTCAATAAATCCCAGGTATTGTGAACTTATAATTTTACATATGCAGCACTAAAATACTTCAAGTTAGGCTTTATTTTTGTGCCCGATTTGTAATTAATAGTCATGCCTAGTACATGTTTTACATATAGAAGCTTGGAAAAAAGTGGAATATAGACTGAGCTTTTAAGCTATGGCTGCTGTGAAAATGATTATCTGATAGATGTAATGGGTGATTGAAAAGTAGCAGAAAAAGTGTAAATTTAATAATTCAAGGAGTATGGATAGTAACACAATGTGCTTTTCCCAAAAATGCTCAGAGAAACAGCATTTTTTTAAGGTTCCTGATTCTTAAGTTTCACATGAAACTTGATGTTGATTCACTGCTCGGTTTTTACATTAGACATTTTTTCCAGCAGAATGCAGTTGCACATGTTCACTCAGTGACACAGCCAACTGGTGTGTTCGGTTAAGTCGAAACTGGCCACATAAGATAGAGGAGGTGTGGGGGATGACATCAACAAAACAGTTGCTGCCAACTCCTCTCTTTTTCAAGCTACACACTTAGTCTCCTAAGTTCTTAGTTATTTTAATAATTACACTGATGTTCAAAACTAAATAATAAATGATATAGTTATTATAGCATTTATAAATCTTTAGTTACAGGGCAAGAGAATATATAGAAATTGTACACAAACTTGTGTAAAGACTTAGTACCATATTTACGGAATGAATAATATCAAACAATGTACAATTTTTTAAAGGTAAAATTGCATCATTTTTGTTTTCAGAGATATAGTTATTTAATTGTGTTTCTTCTGGCAGAAATGCGGGCTTCACAGCTTTTTTTAAAAAATTATTTATTAAAACATCAGATAAAATGCATTGGATCATATGCCATTCACTTCAGATGGCATATCTGAGCTCCTGTAGATTCTGGGATGGAACTGGCTCGCTGTAACTCTGTGACTAAAACATCTCAGTCATGCTTTATATTATTGGGTAAGGCAAGTTCAGTGTCTAATGTATCAAACAACATCCCCAGCTGAAGGCTTATGGAGTGCCTTTGCTTTAATTAAGCAGTTACCTCCACATCATCGTTAAGACGAATGAAATAATTCAGAAAAGGCTATTGCTAAAGGGGCGAAAAAGAACTTTTATGGGCTTAAAGATCAAAATTGGATAAGAAGTCCCCGAGAGGGACAAGAAGCGCCTTCCAACAACTCTTTTACTTGAGAGGAGGGCAGGAACCCCCGCTAAGGCAATTAAGTAGTGAAAGAGGTGATGATTGAGAATGATTACTGGTATGCGACAGTATGAATAGTAGTCAAATAGGTTGAAAGAACAAGAAGTGGGAGCATTGTCCAAGCTTCAAGAAAGGAATTAAAGTAAGTGTTTAGCCAGCGAAGATTGCTAAGAGCCTTGATATAGTGGTCGGGGAGAGATCATTGACCTAAAGAACTGGCTGCATAGTGAAAAGAAGTTATGCGAGGAGGCGAAATCAGCTGTTTTTAGTTCTGTTTTCGGATACAGAAATTGAAGGCCATTGTGGCTAAAGAAATGTATAAATACTGAATGTGCTGTGTTAGCTAAAAGAAAGTTTATTTAAAGAATAAATAATGGTGTTTGTTAAGTATTAAATGCGTTGAGAAAATAGCAAAGGTGTATTTAATATTTTAAGTAATTAAAATTACGGGCAGCGATAACATATTAACGGAGATTAATTAATTTAATTTTAAAAGATGATTAAGAAAAGTTTTTAGTAAAATTTAACTTCATGTAACTGTGATGGTGCCACATCGTAAGGATTTTTTTTAGCCCAGTGAATGCAGTTCTTGGAGTTTACATTCCCATTTAAGGAAAAATGCACCTCATCTCTCCATAATATCCCCAGCTGCTGCATCATATCATCTTCATCATATCTGATAGGAATGTTGTTGAACTCTTTGCAAATGTTTTGTGCAGGCAATTTTTTTTCATATGTGTATCGTTTATGGTTTTTCAATGTGCTGATCAATTTACACAGGGAAATAGTAGGTGTTGCCATTCAGAAAGTCGAAATATTTTTACTCTAACCATAACCATGAGAGCTCTATTCTTTTACCGCTCCAAGCACTATGAGTGTAGCCCTGAAATTTTAAAGTTCTACAAAATGACATAAACAAATGCTATTTCCTTGATTATGATTAAAAAAGGATTCTCTCACTTTGTACCTTGATTCTTTTTCTTTCAGTGTACATCCAACCCAAAATCAGATGCATGAAAAAAGCTGGCAGAAGTTTTCATGTGTAAAGATTAAGAATTTCATGTGTAAGGATTTTATGTCTATACCACTGAGACGGTTAAATCATAAAAATTTCGAGTGCAGAAATTTTTTTTTTTTTTACCACCCTCTGTTATGTCAATTTTGGTTGAAGAAACAGTAATATTTTTGTAATGTTTTGTCAGCTACATAGGGACAATATTTTTTGAAAGCCACAGAACCATAGTTATGTACATGAAAATTAATAGGTATCAATAATTTTAGTTTTTTATTACTCATTTGTATGGTTACTTATTATGCTTCTGAATTTAAATTTTTTATGATGACGAAAACTTGCGTAATGCAAAGATGCTAGTCACAGCAGTAATATGATTGAAATGTTAGATCTCGTGGTATAAGAGTATGAAATTTAATGCATTTTAAAACATGCATGTGTGTTCCTTAACAATTTGCTTTCATGTAAATATGAATCTTTTAGAAACAATTGTCTTTGGAAATATTTTAGTTTTGTGTTTTCTTAAAGCTCAAATCTTGCTTGGAAATGAATTCATCACTTTTGACCTGATGAATTTTTTTGTGTGTGTATGTGTGTGTGCATGTGTTTGTGTACATGCATAAAGTTATAACATAAATACACTTGTTTTAATACTGAATGTGGCTTGAAATGGATAAATTAACTGTAGTAGATGGATAATTTAGTTTAATGTGACACATTTTTGTATGTTGAGGAAGATGGAATTAAAAAAAGATTGAATTTTTGTGTAATATTTGTTAGAACAAATATAATTAATCAGTTTCAAAAATCAGAACTTAAAGAAAAATTTCCTGAAGAAATCATAAAATTTGAATTTCATAAAAAATATGTGGATGGAGAACTGTTCATTGAGTTCATTCGTTGAAGTTTATTATGACTATTATTTTATGCACACTTGAGAAGAGTTAAAATTATACACAAAAGTTTACTTTAAATATGAATTGTTTGCCAATAAGTTCTTTAATTTTGTTTAAATTTGTTTGTTAGCTTTTATATTGCTTGGTTAAATGTATCTAAAGATAATTTTCTATCTAATATAATTTTTATTTTTTATAGGGCCCACATGAAGGAAAAATTCCTTTCAGATCTTCGAAAAGCCAGAGATAGTTATACAGGTGAAGCGCTTTCTGAAGTTAGTATTACTTTTGATTTTCCTAATTAAGTATGATTTCCGATATTATTTATCCTCATATTTGTTCCAAGTTGAGAGCATGCATGTGTTAAAACCTACTGGTGTATTTAAAAGGAATGCCTCACTTTCTGTTTAGGTAGTTATCCACATATTAATTTCATATACAGTCAAACTCTGGTATAGCAAATCTGTCTTATAATAAAACCCTGAATATAACGAATAAATTTTAGTTCCCATCCAAGTTCATATACACTGGCTGTTATAACAAATCTCTAAAGATATGAAAATTGGATATAATGAATATTGTGGATATCTTCAATTGAAACTTTTTTATATTTTCATAGTTTTTTCCAAAATTCTTGCAAGTTTTAATTACGTACAAAATTATTATCCCTTAAATCGATCCATGCTCAGAACATTTTTATAGAGTGTGTGTGTGTGATTATGGCAAAGCCTCGAGGGCTATCTGCCTAAGGGGAGGGATGCCTTCGTGGAGGACTTTCTAAGAGAAACTGTCTCGTATACACATTACACATGAGGAAAACCATGAAAACGCCCATGCAGCCAGCCCGTTTGCAGGATTCGAACCTCGGACCAAACTACCAGTGTTCAGCGACTTTACCGCTCGGTCACTGGTGGGCCTCCATTTTTATAGAGGAAAACAATTTTATGTTACTGTTCTTTTACCTTTACCCCCCACCTTTTTGTGTTGTAAATAAAAGACTGTGAGACAGACATAACGACTAATTCTTAGAAAACAAAGTCTTAAAATAAGCATACCGTTGAATACTATTTGGTGTATATGACCATTGACACGACGGACTTGTATGTTTTCTGTGATTCAATTTAAGTTCTTTGATTGAGCTGTTAGACAGATATGTTCAGGGTGATGAATTGATGGAAACAGATTTTTTGTTAATCATATCAAGAGTAAATAGTGAGTAGTTTTTGTGAGCTTGTCGCTCTACAGGTGATTTGTTTTTAGGGAATTAATATTATTTATCTTTCTGTTTGAGTTATGAACTCTAGAAGTTTTGCCTTTTGAATGGAGCTTTTCGCTTTCTAAAGCTTTTAGAAAAATTTAGGATATTCTTTATAAAGACAATTGATTTTTTGCTTTGCAGCCATACATTTCTTGGGATAAATGAATGCATTTGTATTAGGTATAAGACAGAATAGTGCTGAAATTATCTTCGTTTTTCACCTTTTCAAAAGTGGCAACACATCGCATACTTTTCATCACCCTTCACTCTGCATTGACGAAAATTTTGTGTTAAAAAGTTTGTTTAAAAATTCATGTGTAGGACAATTTGTAAACATAAAGTAGATTGCACTAAAGATAAGATGAGCATTGCTCAAAATGGATACAGCCAAATCAACATGTATTGGGAACATATTTGTTTCAAATCTGGCATTGGTACCATTGTGGAAAAATTGAACCTTGATAATTTCTGCTTAAAAGTTTTGAGTATGAGGGAAAACCACAGAAGGGCTGAGCATAAGAATAGTGAAAAAGCATAGCTGAAATAGTTCACCATTCGTAGAAGCTTTAATCTGCCAATATCTCGACAAATGCTTGAGATAAACGTAAATGCATTTGTCAAACACTTTGGAAAGACTGCTTTTTTGTGCCCAAATCATTAGATGGATGGGCTCAAGAAGCAGAATTGCATTACTTTGGAAAAAATTGTTGAAGAAACAGGCAGTGCTTCAAAATTAGGTCTCGTGAAGCGGGAAAAGTGTTTGGGATATTTCTTTGGACACTATAAAGAAGACATTTTTAACACTGCTAAAGTTGTGTTTTTTACAAGATGATACTAAATGTTCAACTTAAAGCATCAATGATGTACTAGTTTAAAATTCTCAAAGGTGTAAATTACGATTTTTATGTGCGCTACTATGAAGGACACTGAACATCACAGGTTTTTGATGAATGGAATTTCTCAAAAGCTAAGGTGCTTAGAAAGGTGAAAATTCTTCCTTTTCATTATGAAGTTAATTTTAAGACATGAAAATTATTTAGAACTATTAGAAGTGAAGCTTCAAAAGTGTGATGAACTTTTGGCCCAAAATCAGAATTCATTATTCTTTATTGAAAGCCATATTGCTTATACAGTTGTCGAAAATTTAGATTGGATGAAGACTGCATTTGACTTCTGAAAGTAGTTTCGATGCTTCAACTTGTGGACTGAAGCACGACTAGGATCCTGAAATGTCATTACAGAGAGTAGCTTGTTTTAAGCATTTTTAAAAAAGCGTAACTATCAACTAGATTGTAATGTTTCACTTCTTGATGCCATACTACTAGCACTAGGAAAGCCTTGGTGACTAGTTACAGAAACAAACATTGCAGGCATTTTTTTATGTGCTGGTTTAGCAAAAGGGTTTATGGGAAAGATGATGAAAATGAGGATTTTTCCATCACCAAGTGGTGGGGAAACAATGACATTTCAGTGTTCTCAGAAGATAATATGGAGCTATTTAAATCATGCAATGACAGTGTTACATGTGAAGCTGTGAATGATGAAGACATTTTGGCATAAATTAAAATGATAAATATTAATGTTAAAGATGTTTCTCTTGTTGCTGATGAATATGTTGAAGAAGCACAACTCATGGAAAGTGACTCTTTGGCATAGTGGATGCCAAATCTGCAATGGATGTCAATAAGTTTTTATTTAATACAAACCGTAGAACTGAAGTGATGAAGTCTTTTTTCTCTCTTTGGATAAAAATGGGGATAAAATTTTCCTGCAGTTTGTATAATGTCAGCAGAAAATTACAGATTATTTTTGTATTCAAAAGCTAAATTAAGAGTTAATTTGCCAATATTTTTAAATTGTTCATATGCGTTTTTTATGTTTTTATCCATAAAGTAATTATTCATAATTATAAATGTGTGTTTAAGAGAACTATGTAATTTGAGGAAAAAGATCAAAGCTATCTATGTGAAGTAATTTACTATATAAAGTTAGCAATGTAACATGCAACTAGAAAAGAACAAATTTCAAATTATTTAATAATAATGGTAGTTAAACCTTGATATAATTTTTATAGTTAGATTTGTAATTTTTTTCTTTTGCTAGAAGTGATGAAATTAATCAGTTATTTATGCTTCATCAATTAGTTTTTGTGAAAAAAAAAAAAAAAAAAAAGACGCACAAAGAAGGAGTTATCCAAATGGGAAGAAAATCAGTAGAAGTGATGTACATGTACAGAAAAAAAAATTATTACAGTTTGACAAAAATTGGATGATGTATTGAAGTGACAGCTTCACAAAATGAAAAAGTCAGTAACGCATTTGTCCACCTCTAGCCCTTATGCAAGCAGTTATTCAGCTTGGCATCGATTGATAGAGGTGGCAGATGTCCTCCTGAGGGATATCGTGCCAAATTCTGTCCAACTGGCACATTAGATCATCAATATCCCGAGCTAGTTGGGGGGGGGCCTGCCCATAATGCTCCAAACATGCTCAATAGGAGAGAGATTCGGCAACTTTGCTGGCCAAGGTAATGTTCTGCAAGCAGTAGAAACATGTGCAGTGGAGGGGCAGGCATTATCTTGCTGAAATGTAAGCCCAGGGTGGCGTGACATTAAGGGCAACACAACAGGCCTTAAAACTTCGTCGATGTGCCGCTGTGCTGTCAGGTTGTGACGAATGACAACCAAAAGGGTCCTACTATGAAATGAAATGGCACCCCAGACCATCACTCCTGGTTGTCGGTCTGTCTGCCAAAAGACAGTCAGGTTGGTATCACACCGCAGTCCGGGGCGTCTCCAGACTCGCTTTAGCTGGTCATCGAGGCTCAGTTCAAAGCGAGACTCATCACTGAAGACTATTCTACTCCAGTCAGTGACATTCCAGTGCGGCGCCGTGACCTCAGCCCCCTTTCTGTGAGCCATCTATGAATATTCCTTGTGGTCACTGAAGCACTAGTTGCACGTACAATCGATGATAATGATGCATTTGGGGCTGTGAGAGATGATTGCTCGGTCTTCATGTTCTGTTTTTTTCGATTGGCCTACCACTTCCTTTTTGATACTGTGTGCAGCCGTGGTTGACCCATTCCTGCCAACATCGTCTAATAGTGGCATCGCTCCTGCTCAAATGTCGAGCTATTCGCCGATAAGACCAACCGGCTTCTTTGAGCCCAACTACACGACCTCTCTCAAATTCTGACATCTGCGCATATCGTTTGCGCACCTGTATGCAAGGCCAGAGTACGCGGAATGAAATTCGTGAAGAATTTGTGACCTAGAATTGTAATTTCTCCTCTTAAATATCCTGCCAGTTTGCTCAGGTCAGATGTGCTGTAGCGACAACCGTTTGTTTCTTGCAGCCAAAATGTAAAATTTTGCATTGTCTGTCGAAACTTGTATGCATATCAATATGTGTCCAATTTGCTTTATATCTTCGTGGTGCGTGGGTTTTTTTGGTCCAAGAGTGTATTTTTTAATTGACTTTATAGCGAACCAAACTTTTGGTCCCTGGAAGTTTATAACAGCAGGCTTTGATTGCACATGAGATAAAAAGAAAATTGTTTTAGGAACATAATTGAAAAGTTTATGTATAGTTTTCTTAAAGTGCAAAATGGCTTGATCTCTTTGTACCAATGAATTTTTTACACAGTTGTCTCCTAAATCACTGCACTTAGATGTGGATTTTTATATTTTGTTCTGGTAGCAAGGTACTTGCTTGAAAGTAGACTTTTAACTTTAGAGTATACTGTGCTTACATTACATTGCTAAAAGTACTGTGTTCATTGTATCTTTCCTGTAGTTCTACATAATCTCTTATAAATTCTTGTCACTTTTATGACAGTCTACAATGGGTGTGATGGAATAAATATGCACAAGTTTGGTTTTTCTTTTGACTTTATTTCTGGCAACTAAGGAACACATGCAAAATTTGAACAATTTTCCATTCATAGTTTACTTATAACTCTATACGTTAATTAAAAAATAAATCTGTGATTGAACAACCCTATATTCTACTATTA